CCCCCTCACACGTCGCCCCTCCCCCCGATTGACCGATTGTGTGTTGCATAGGATGCGAAGCGGCGTTTAAACGGAAACAACAGAAAGACATCCACATGACGGAGATCCACACGACGGAAGCGAAGCTCACCTGTGATTGGCCCGGTATGTGTCCTCTCGTGCCATTGTCTCTTACTGTCTGTTTGTGTCTAAGGCTGCGATTCTGCGTTCAGTTCTCACAACAAACTGCGAATCCACAAAATGAAACACACGGGAGAAAAGCCCTACAAGTCTGACCTCTAGTCTCGCCTCAGGTCTCTAATCCCAGTCTCTCTCCGCAGGTGTAGTCAATGCGAGTGGAGATTCCGGCAGAAGAACCACTTGAAGACGCATCTGTTGAAGCATTCGGGAGAAAAGCCCTTTTCGTGCCAACACTGCGACCGAAGGTTTGAATTTCGCGCCAAAAGTGCTTTAATTGACGACTGATTGCAAAACAGGTTTCAAACGAAACAGTCGTTACGTATTCATTGCCACAAAAGCCACCCTTCGATAGCGTGACGTCATTTGTGTATTACTTTCGATCGTTTGTACCAAAAATGCCAATAAAATGAATACAAAATGTCTATAAGTTTTTCGCGCAAAATGTACTCAAATCTTATCAATACAAATCATTGGTGGCTATAGCTCTCGCGTCCCAATACACACAATGCTGTGTACAGTACATGTACAGTGTATAATAAACACTGTACAAACGCGAGAGCTTTAGCCACATATGATACAAATGACTTGTTGTGAATCACGTGTTGAAAACACATCTGAAATCAACGCCATTTGAATTGCGGCCAAAATGCGGACAAGAAGTGGTCAGAAGTACACGGAAGAGGGCGGCAGCGAAGCGCCCAAACCTGTGGCCACACAACCGACCAAAACGCCGAAACGCACCGAAACCACGACCAAGAAGGAGACGACCGCTAAGAAAAAGGCGGTCAAAGACACCGAACCCAAGAGTGAATCCAAGACCGAGTCCAAGACTGAGCCCAAGAGTGAGTCCAGGAGTGAATCGGCGCCCAAACGGAGCCGAAGAGCGGTTGTTGCGGAGGAAGAGAAGCCGACCACAAGTGCTGTCAAAGAGAAGAGAGGTTTGTTTTGAACGCAAAGAGAGTTTCCATTGATTTGTTTTGCGATTAAAGGGACGCGAAGCGCGAGGAATGCGGAACCGGTTGTCGAAGCGATTGTCGAACCGATGAGAAAGAGTCGGAGAGGAAAAGCGGCGGAAGAGAAGAGCGAAGCGCCGAAAGTGGAGAAAAGCGTCGCCAAAAAAGCGAACGAAAAGC